GGCACAAAATATTGAACACTGGCCATTTCATGTCATTTAATCTATTCATTTTCTTTACATTATTCAGAAGAAGCTTTACTTTAATATGGGGGTGAGGGAAAGAGGGCAGGCAAGAATTCATAGTTTATGGTGTGAAAACTTTAAAAAGTATGTTTATTTTAAAATCCAAGCTTTTCTATCATTCAGTAATGACTGGGTGTGTACAATGTTCTTATAGTTTTAAAAAGTTTAATTCAGAGTTTCATCTTCTGGGAGATGTAATATTCATATATACGTGGAACGTAGAAAAATATTTTTAAAATATATTTTCTCTGTCAACTATGACTTTCTTTTTGCTTATCTTTATTAGTTTTCATGTCTTATGAACAATAATGACCTAAAATCTTGATAAGCCTAAGTAACACAACTATTCCTATTTTTTAAGTGGTAGAATATAAGCTTTTTTTTGTATTAATATTGTTAAAGGCACAAATGAGAAGAAAATAAAGCTTGTTAATTTTTGGAAATTTAGTAATTTCAAATAAAAGTCTAAAGATTAGTTTAGAAACTTTTCTCTTACCTTCATTCTTTCAAATTGAGATAGAACTCTGAGTGCCCGAAGGAATTTGATGGAAGTAAGTGGCTTTAGTTCTTCTCGAGATTTCCCTATTAAGCTAAGGCAAAACACCTATACACATATTAAAAAAAGGAATAGGATTCCATTTTAGTGAAAATAATATGTAGAATACATTTTCCATTCATTTATTATGAAAGAGATAACATAATCAAAGCTCAAAAATAAATCTGTGGAAGACTTTGACATATATTGTAAAATATCTTAGTAATAACAGAAAATTAAGAAAATAATTTTGTGTTAAAATTGCTTAACAAAGATGAAACAAAAACATTTTCTGGTAATAAGTATGCTATCAGAATGAACAAAAATTAGTGTATTTTACATTCTTTATGATCAGCAATTATTATTTATATCCATTTTTAGTTTGAAATTGAATTAAGAATCAGTTTTATCACTATTTGCAATATAATATTTGTATGAAATAAATTCATTAAAACAAAATTTGAGATATGCTTACAAATACACCCACATTTGATGATAGTTAATACATAAAACATAATTTCAGAGGACAGGAATAAAGTAGGATATGAATATTATAAAGTCAAAAGTACAAACAATGAAAAAGTATTACCAGATATTAAGGTAATTTTTAACAGTAAATATATATATATATATCCAAAACTGATTAAGCAAGGTGGTAATGCTATGATTAACCTTTGTTGTATATTCATATTTTTTTATATAAAAGAACCTCCATGTTTGACCATCTCCCTACATTGA